GCGAACGGGCGGAGCGGTCACTGCCACGCGAGCTGCTGCGTGTGCGCGTGCGGGAAGCCGGGCCGCCGTGCAGCAGACACGCGGCCAGAAATAAAACCTTCGCAACGATAAGGAGAACCCGCCGCAAAGGGGGAGGACCCCAAATCTGTATGCGCCTGACAACACGGGTTCAAAACAGAAAGCAGACAGCAGGGCCGGAAAGGAAAACAAACCCACCGTGACGAGGGAAAGCGTAACGGCTCTCAGTGAGCGACAGGACCCGCGGACAGGTCTGTCCGGGGATGGAGGGTCTGGCAGGTGCCACCCTGGACCTGGGGCCTGGAGCCAACACAGGGTACCCAGCGTGTTCCCCACGGGGGCCCCGCCGGCTGAAGCGAGTCTGCAGGCCGTGGAGAGCTGGCGTTGTGCAGCAGTTCGCTGACCAGCGGAGGCCAGCAGGAGGTCCCCACGGAAGATGCTCGGCACAGCGCCTTCCGGGCACAGAGAAGCCACGACAGGAGCCAGACACGGCGCGTGAGACTCCTGCATCTCAAGGGCAGGGCACCAACACCAGGTCGTGAGGCGCAGGGGCTCCGAGCCCCCGCCCTGCGCCCCGCAGCGGCCCTGGAGCAGCAGGACCCCCACACGAAGCAGGGAAGCCAGGACAGGAGCCGGGTGACAGCACGTGAGCTGGTTCACCCTGGGTGGCGGTGGAGTCCCCTGTGACGGCTGAGGCAGAGCCCAGAGCGGGGGCTCCCACCCATGGGTGGAGGCATCTCCCTGGCCTCACGGTGTCACCCCAGCGGTTCCATCTTCCAGCTCTGCTAGGTTTCCAGGGGGAAGGTCATGGGAGGTTAACCCAAGGTCACTTGTTAGCTATTCCCAAAACCACAGCCTCTTAAGTAGAGCGTCTTTCTGAGCGTTCGGCTCAAAAGCTAGAAATAGCAAATTTAACTTGAAGCAAATACATGGGAAGAAATAGTAAAGATCAGACGTGAATTAAAATACATATAAAAAACAGGAAGCACCAAGAAAGTCGAAACGTCAAAAGTCAGTTCTTCGGAAGGACTGATGACCCCTCGCCGGGCCGACGAGGACGGGAAGAGGCAGCAAGTGCTGCTGGGAAGGGGCCGCCCGTGGGCCGCCGGTCGAGCGTCCATGCGGTGGCTCACCGGCCAGAGGCGGGAGGGGCGACGGGCGGTGCACGTTTTTGGAAAGGAAGAATAAGCCTTTTTGACACCCACAACCCAAAAGGAGCTACGGCTAGACTGTTAGAACGAATAAGTGAATTTACCGAGGTCACGAGGGCCTTTGCGGCATCGATGGCCGGTCATAAAACGACGTCCTGAAAGGACCCCATTCAGGAAAAGGTCAGAGGGCTGGTTGCTGGGGAGGGGGCGGCGGGTGGCTGAAGGGGTCAGAAGGTGCACAGTTCCAGGGACAAGGCGCCGAGCCCTGGGCGCGGCGTGTGCTGGGTGCTGTGGGTGCTCGGAAGCTGCGAAGAGGCGGGGCCTCCCAGTCCGTTCACGAGGGGAGAAGTTGTTTCCTTTTCTTCGTACCCACGTGAGATGACGGACGTGAACTGACGTGGGTGGACGTGGAGGGGGCTGCTGCCCACCTGGCACGCCGCGGCGCCGTGTGTCAGCTGTCGATGAGGCGAAGCGGGGGAAGCACCGTTCACAAAAACCCGGAGTGACCGGGAATGAGTGTGACGTGGCGGAGTCCACACGAAATGGCAGCTTCAGAGGAACGAAAGACGGGTGGGGGAGGTGAGCAGCAGATGGGGGCCGGATGTCTCCCGCTGAGGCCACGTGAAATCTCTTCTGCAGGGCAGTTCCCGCTCGACCTCTTCCAGCTGGGGTCCGAGATGAAGGTGGGTGGCACCCTCTCCCGGCGCTGAGCGCTGCCCAGAGCACTCCCACTGGGCGCCCCACATGGCACTGGCCGTCCCCGGAACGGCTTTGCGGACTCGCTCGTGTGCCACGGGGGCCGCCAGGCCTGGGCTCCAGGAGCTTCCAGCTGCCCCTCCCCCGCCCCCCGCTCAGGGCTTGTGGGGTCAGACCGGCCCCGTGCCAGCCACGAGAGCTGGACTGCCCCAGACAAGCCTTTCTGTCTACAGGGAGAGAAGGGTGACCGAGGACACACCGGGCAGAAAGGGGAGAGGGGCGAGCCCGGGGCTGGCGGGTTCTTCGGCTCCAGTATTCCCGGCCCACCTGGCCCACCGGGCTACCCTGGGATCCCGGTAAGGTGCCCACACACTCACCCAGGCCTGGCCCACAGCTCGTGTCCCCAGGGCCCCGGGGCCAGGAACTGAGGGCAGAGCCATGGGTGCCCACTGCAGCCCACAGGCTGCAGCCTGCAAGCTGGGCCCTGAGCGCCCCATCCTGGCTGTCTGTCCCTGGGTGGGGCATGGCAGGCCCAGTGGGGGCACAGCCACTGCCCCCAGGGCAAACTCACTGACCTCCAGCCAGCTGGGGACTGTGGGACACAGTGAAGCCCACCCCAGCCCTCCTTAGCTC